GTATTGAGAAAATGGCTCTACTTCTTTACTTGACCTATTACCTCAGTGAACATTTTCTGCATCAACAGCAAGAAAATTGTTTGATGTAACGCCACACAGGTTTGCATAAATGCATTAAACGCAAACTGCCATGACAGAACATAACAAAAAACTCAGTTGCGTGAACCACCAACCTCCAGCGAAGCAAGAGTTGACGGGCTTGACGTAGGGGACTCGCACATACGCTGAAGTTTGTACGCCTCTGGGTTTTACTTTCTTTCTGTATTCAATGTGTATCAAGGTGAGATCATTCATTTATTCTTATTTATTTTCATTTGTGTGTAAATGCAGCACTTTGTGTGTTTTTAAAATGAGTCCAGGCCTCAGGGACATCACCATTCCTACATCCATCCTTTACATACAGTCTATGGATGTGACTTTGTATTTAACAGACAGACACAACAGTGTGAACTATCCTTCATCCCCTAATCACCTGTCAGCAAGAAACCTGTGATGCCAAAACATTAGCTCCCTTAATATCACCATCAATTTGTTGTTTTTTTTTCTCTTGACAATACTTAAAAAATTGCTCATGACTGATGCTTTTTCCTTTATAATGATGCCATTGATTAAAAACGTCATAATATAAGCGATCATAAGCTCCTTTTTAAGCATCGTTTCCATGTAAAGCAAGAGACAGATACATAAACAAACACCTATGGGAGCCGCTGTTGGTGACTATTTGTGTTTTATGAGCTCATACATAATAAGAATTAAGTCCATTATGGTTACTTATGAGCAACAACACAACAGCATATTCATTTGCTGCTTACACATGTAAAAACATTACATCGCTTCTTGTTGCTGACTGAATGAATACTAAAAAAACCCATAAATTAATACATTAATCCCCCTATTTCCACTTCAGGCGTGTTCATCCGTACACTGACACATGGGCCGATCCCACACACACGGTTAACAAGCTTATCAGTCAAGGAGCTTAAGGCTTGGAAGCAAAACATTCCAACTCTTCCCAATGAGCTGCCCAGTATGGTGTTGGACTAAAGTAATGAAGATGTGTTGGGAAACATCTAACGCTCCAACACCTCCCTCGAGGTGCAGATAATCAGCTTTTCTGAGCGGCATTGGCTGAAATAGGCTCATAAATCTGTAATAAGGACCCGCACTTCAGAGCACCCGGTCCAGCTTCACCCCCCTCCCCTCCTTCGTCCTCTCAGTCAAAATGGTGCACCGAATATTGACTCCGCTGTACGCACACAGCAGTCCAATGCGATTCTCAAGAGAGGTGGAAAGCCTGTGACCGAGTGAAAGACTGCCCTCCTCTACCCAACACTTGAGCCCGGTCATGACGGCAAAGTGCTGTACGCAGCAGAGTGGCAGCTTGTGGGCAGCCAGAACTCACAGTGGCTTCCTCCATTCGCTAGCCGGGCTACACACACACACACACACAAACACACACACAGACACACACAACCCTGCAGGTGTGGTCCACACATCATAAACACTTTATTAATGTACAGCAGCATGTTCCAGGAATAACCTCAAAAGCCAAGTGTGCATGAAATCACAGGCCTTTTTCCAGATTAATATATAATCACAGCTTCAGTATTTTTATTTTTTTTTCCTTTCTGGCAATAATTTCTAACCAAGAGGACTTAGAGGGAATCGTATTTTAACAAGCCATTAGTGTGCATAAATCCCAGCATCTGCCGCTCCTCCTTGTCTGATGCTTCTTCTCAAATTATACATCCCTTCTCCTTCGCATGTAGCGAGGCAGAATGAGCACCTTAACCACCGAAAGGCTTAAAATGTCTAAATTGTGAGTTGTTATTGCAGGACAGAATGACATTACGTCTGCCCTTGGATGCATATTACTTAGCCACAGCGAGAAAAACCACACCAGCAATCAGAAAAACAATAATTTGTGTTTGTTGTTTTCCCAAGAAAGCGATTTCTTCTTTTCAAAAAAGCAAACAGTTATTTCAAAGACTCCTGGGTATATTCAACCAATACGCTCAGCAGCGCATGTGAAAGACGCAATGTTGACTGAAACGCAGCTCCATCCCCATGTGGCACCACGTCAGACTTAATGACTTTCAAGATATATACAACACAAGGAAAAATTAAAGCAAATTCCAATCATCGCTGGGAATGTGAGATTGCGGTTCCGGCCAAGTATGTGTAACTCCCGCTGCAGGGGCGGAGAGCTAAACTGGGATTTGACCTAATCTCATTAAGGTAAACGGCTCGTCCATTGACACCTGCTTTTGCTCTGAAGTTATCGAAGCCTGAGCGATTCGCGAAGCACGGCTGAGGCTGAACGGACCTCCCCTCCCCTGTTGTCAGTCCAGTCATTACATTTCATTGCATCAGATCCTGAAAAATAAACGGCTGCCAAATGAAAAGCGTAATTTGGGTTTGGAGAGAAGAAACTGCGACTGCCGTGTGCTAGTGTGCAGATTCCTGTTAAATACCCAGCCTTAGATTGGTGTAACATTGCTGCTTTATCAGAGAATAACTCCACTGTGGTACAACAAACAGCCTGGATGTCCTCCAAGTGAACTATTTCGTACCACATGCACTCAAAATTGTTTTTTTTACAGTGCAAGAAATGGCTCTGTATATTTCCTAAAGCATGGTTAACTCTGTAGCAACACAAAACACTGCGTGAAGAAAGAAAGCAACCACACTATTATTCCAAACCTGACCTCATTTATATGACTTCATGCTGCATAAAGATATAATCAGCACCTGACCGAATGTCTAAAAAAATTGGCTCTAATGAGTTACTACGTCTTTGCTTGGAATGAAACTGATAGGACTCCTAAAATAGCCTGCCTGTGCTCTGAAATATTCAGCATGTGAGTGTGTGTCTATGTGTGTGTAATCGTTTGTGGCTTCAGTGCAGCCCAAGCAGGTCACAGACTAACTTTCCTGGACAACAAGTGCTGTTTGCTGTCTGTTTTGACAGCGCCAGGAGTGAAGGGCAGCGACTCTGTTCAGGAAGCTCCCCGGTGATACTTTGTTTGTGTGACAGCAGCCGGTCGAGGAGCCTCAGTGTGTGTTTTCTGTGTGTGTGTGTGTGTGTTGTGTCCTCGCCGGTCAGCCACTGACCCTGGATTTTATCCCGCCAGATTAATTGTCAGATTCCACATGTCATCCGGGATTTACTGTTCAAGACGAGCAGGATGTTACGGACAAGAAAGTGTGGGAATTCTGCGCATTAAAAAGTGCTAAAAGGGAAAGAAGCTGTTTTTCTTCAAACACATTTCTTGGATGATGTGGGGCACAGTCACTGATGATGAATGTTTGCTTTTGTTTTGATGGATTTGTTTGTGCTGGATTATAATTATCAAGGTGGCACCACGAGAGCGCAGTAAGCTGCTGATGGGGGAAAACAATATCGGAAATATGTAGCGGCACATAAATCACGATTGATCTGGTCGGAGCGAGCACACGGGTCAGTCTTAGAGCAGCTTCAAACAGAGACGATGCATTCTTAAGATAAAAAGCTTACGTCAAATTGGAATATATATCAAATTTCAAATGAATTATCAAAGCGAGTATGTCCAGATTGTCTTGATTATCTCCTAATTTTTACGACCGCTGGCTGAGAGGCCTGTGAGTCATTCATGTATGTCAGTGTTGCTCAGTGGTGGGTGATGCAGGAAGGTGACCTTTTTCTCCAACAGAGCACAGGGTGTAGCGGGAAGCTGTGGTCCCTCTGGCCTCCAGGCACCCTGTGGCTCAGTAGGATGGGTGCTGGCAGCTCATCTACCACCTCAACTCATCTGCCACCTCCCCCCCCCATGCATGAACCATGATTTGCTTGAGTTCTCATTATAACACACAACGCGGACTCAAATCCAAATAGAAAAGAGTTAAACATGCAAAAAAAAAAAAAGTGTCAGTGGCCAAGCAAAGACTTGTGAAAAGCCCCTCTGGAAGTTAATGAAAACTGAGAAACTCCTGACTCATGAGGGGGATTTGTCATTTGTGTCATCGCCACATGGTGAAAGCGGCGACTCTTGCGCAAAACAACAGAGAGAAAATGTGTTTTTGTTCAAGCCTCTGTAATCTGCAGAGCAGCTGTTGAGCTGTTGTTTTCGGGCGCTTCGGACACAGCTGGAAGTGGACATTTGGAACAGCGTGGACACACACTGTCCGTTGTGTGATGATGATTGTGATATTATCATGGAGATTGCAAAAAGGAGCTGCTGATACCGATAAAAAAAAATACATTTTTAGACTGCAGGGGGATGAAATTTCAAAACTGTATTGCTTCAGACTGATTCTTTAGTCCTAAAATGGACAAGATGTACAAAATATACATGTGCGCCTCATGTTATTGAAGACTTTTTGGTTGATAGATGCATAAACACAGTCAGAAAGGGACTCCCACATACCCAATTATACAGTTTCCTGCATCAACATTTCAAAATGTGAGGGTTTCTTTGCGGGTAGCACAGTCAAACTGCTGATTTGACGCCTGATCTTTGGTTGCATTAGTTATTAGCAGGGTGCCAGGCATTTTACAGTATCAGTGATACATGCAGGGATGTCGGCGGTGCAAGGGAGAAGGAGTGGAGTACCCGCCCCCTGTAGTAAACCCTGCTCACTCCACACAGCTGAGCAAAATGCACATGTTTTAAGTAAGCAAAAAAAACCAAAACATGAATATTACAAAAAATAATAATAACAATCGCATCTGATTTGGCTGCAAAATAAAGGCAGTAAAGTTGCATTGCCAGCTCCACAGTACAGACACATCCAGGCTGGCTGAGGGCTCTCTTAATGTTTCATCTGAACAATGGAGGTTTTCCGTCGATACTCTTGCCTTTGCTATTGCAGCCCAGAATCCTCTGCAGAATAAACAGATGGGTAATCTAGCTGCACCAAAATAGACGGGAAATTCAAAGCATGTCAAATAATAAATTTTAAAAAAAATCCCCCCCCCTCAATAAAAAAAAATGACAACCGAGTGTGACATTTCGCCTTACCTTTATCTTGACTTGAAGAAATGCTCTCCTCCTCTTTCGGATTTGCAACCTGTGTTATTATGGACGTGTTGTCCATGGAAACGAGATGTTCTGCACCTTCGGCTACACCGTTTTATTCCTTGGCAAACATTACCAAGCGCACTACGGTCCCCTGGCTGTGCACAGGCTACAGAGTCCGCTGTTTGCACCATTAAAATCCCGTTTTATTCGAAGCATGCAGTCCGATCTCTCTCTCCCCCCTACACACACACACACCTCTCCAACCACCACCTCCTCCACCTCCACCCCACACCACTTCCTGGAGCTTACAAACGGGACGAAATGTCAATAAGGAGGAGAAGCGGGCCACGGTGCGTCTCGGTGCGATCTGAGGTGACAGTCCGATGAGGCGAACAAAGCGTCAGTCCTGCACCGAAGCCGTGTGTGTGTCCGTTGTGGCTGTTTGCAGGCAGCATAGCCCCCGCCTTCTGCTGCTGCTGCTGCTGCTGCTGCTACTGTACGCTCCGGCTTCAGTCCACACACTACAATATCAACTGCGTGATACGGTTACAGTGTTTACCCAGAGATGGCGACCGTCCTCCTGCTGCCACAGGGCCATGCAGGCTCACTACAACAACACGCCTTCTACATTTCCATTATGCTGTGCAATCCATGCTGGGAAGAAGGGAAAAAAAAAAAAACCCTCTCAGTCAGTCCGCCCACCACTCACGGTTTGTTGCTGTCCTTTCATATCCTTAAAGCTGCGGGAAAACAGCCTCAGGATATTGTGCTTGTAGATTGTTTTTTGAATAATTTTTGCAACATTGTGCGTAAAATTAATTGGAAAGTTGCAAATATGGGAAATGCAATTCACAGTTTGCCAACATTATCTTCCTACAACCCTGTTCAGGACTTTTGGAGCCATTTGGTTTAGGTGACAGACATTGTTTTTTTTTATTTTTGAAGATGTTTTTTAAACATAAAAAGCATGTCATGCACTTGGAACCAAAACTGCATCAACCTATCAGAACATTTATTTAACATAGTCTATAATGAATACCAACAAATATTTTGCACGTATTCTTTCTTGGGGTCCAATAGACCCCAAAAACCTTCTACGTATGGCAACATCCTGAATACGGTTTAAGCCTCTCTTGCAATGCCAGGAATATAATTCTAGTGGAGAAATCTCGTTATTTTAATGGGTACTTCCATCCTCTCAGTAGTAAATGTGTGCATAAAACCAGAATATAAAGCCTGAGGTGGCTGAAAGACACAGCAGTGGACACACAGCTTTCCCAGTCCGGACACCCCAAATTTAAATAGTTCCACCATTTTACAAAAGTAAATTCTCTTAATGTAAAATGTATGTTTAATAATAGAATATAAAGCCTCAGGACGCTGAAAACCAGACTGTGCACGCACAGTTTTCACAATACGGACACCCCAAATCTGAATATTTCTACCTTTTAAAAAAGTAAATTTGTTCAGTGTTAAATTTGTGTTTAAAACCAGAAAATGAAGCCTCAGGTGGCCTAAAGACAAGGCTGTGAACACACAGCTTTCACAATCTGGACACTTCAAATCAGACTGTTTCTACCCTTTACAAAAGTACACACAGTTTTCACAATCTGGACAATCAGAATCCGTTCTATCAATAACCTCTAACATACCTACAAAACATTTACTTAATATTAAAGCCATTTCTTATGACTTTAAAAGCCCCGATTCAAAAATGCACTTTTTTTGGAATCTGGTGCAAACACACAGTGTTGTGCATAAATTGAGTTTTAGTTTCCCATCGATCGTGCACCGCCATCAGAGTATTGCAACACGACTGCGACCCCACGCATGCAGCCGGAATCAGAGGGAGTCATGCAACAGATGGCGAGGCCCCCACACAGCCCCTGATCTCAACATCATGAAGTCGGTCTGGGATTACACGAGGAAACTGAGGACACTGACTGAGACGGATTAATTCGGCGGAGAGCTGTGGCAAATTCTCCAAGATATTCGCAAATGCCGCACCTGCATGGTGCCTGGAAAACCTGTGTTCAAGTGATAAACAAAGCCAGTAAAGAAAGACATACTTCAGATTTATTCATTAAAACCGTTTGTTTAAAAAAGTCCAAATCTGTGCAGAGACATCATGATTCTACTTGATCCTGCATTTCTCATCCTGCCATCAATAGCAGGTTTTTGGAACACAAAACAAACTTTTCTTCTTGAGACAAATAAGCCAACCTTCACAATGCATGCAAAATCAATGAGTTGCCTCTTATTTACATCATGCAGCCCAAACACATCCCTCCAGCTGATACCCACATCATGCATCTGAGGCCTACACCCTCCACATACACTGATAAACAAACATTATTCATCCTATTTCAGCCTCGGTGGACCGTGGAAGAACAACAGGGGAGATAAAGTGGTTTTCTGGCCCATTGCCAGCAGTGACGTGTCTGAGTGTTCGTCCCTCTTCACCTTAGCTGTCACTTTAATGGAGCTGAGGTCCGTCCAGCCCTAATCGACCCCACCTGAGAGACGAGTGTATGATGGCATATGGACAGGAGGGAAAACAGCCTGTCATCTGCTGATGCTGCTCATAATTAGTATGTAATCTCCCCACCGACACGACGCTCTCAATGAGGGGTCAGCGCCGCTGTCCCAATGTTTACAGTAATGTATGTGTACAACTGACACCGCAACACAGGTCCCGCAGCCACTTTGCACAATCACAATCTCTCCTCAGCACCTGGCAATCTGTCTCAGGTTACTGTGTCTGTCAAGGCTGTGTGGCCACTTGAAATCTGACGCAACGGAGTTGGCATGTAACCACGGTTGGGTACTTTAGGATTAATAAGTCATCAAAAGAAAACAGGAAGCAGGTTGATAAAGGAAAATTTAACTTTATAATAAGTGCAGCTGTGTGAGAACCTGTGGAATGCTTCCACAAAAGAGTTTTGATTAGTGCATGTTTGTTATCACTGATAGTAATCAAATTAAAATCAAATCATAGAGATTTAAAGACCGTAATGGTACCACTCTGTGATAAGTTACCCTTTGTTCACATTCAGAACAACATAATGGCTTTATCAATAGTCAATTTATGAATGAGAACAGCTCTGGAGCTGTGAGAAATCCCTCTGCAGCCGTTTTGCTTGATAAGTTGGCAGCTATAAAGTTGGTAATCATAATCACAAACAATACATACATCTAATAAGCCATAAAGTCTGCATCAAGCTGGCAATGAATTGATTTTCTGCAACTTTTTTTCCAGTGCAATCAGTTAGAAGGTCATCCTGATCAATTTAAAGCTGCTGTACTGTATATTTTTATAATAACAATGAATCATATGACTAGCCTTTTGGTGGAGCTTTTCATAGCATCTGTCACCTTGATGTTGTGAGTTTTTTTGTTCTGCCAAGTTATTGTCATCAGTCAGCAGCTGTTTTTTGGCAAGAAGGGTAAAAACTGACTGCAGAGCCCAAACAGCAGACACACAAAGTTTGCAAATAGCTGGTGTAAATAGCATTTCTCTGCCTCCTGCAGCCAGACATTTATCAGAAGTTGGTGGAGACCAAAACAGAGCTAAAAGAAAAGTGAATTTTGATGTAGCATCCCCTGGAAGCTAACTCATACTAAACTATTTGCTAACAAATTAGCCATATCATCTTAAAAAGTTATAATATGATATCTTTGTGCTAATAGCTTGTTGCTAATGTTTCTTAGTGGCTAATGATCAATTATTGGCTAAAAAGCTAAAACAACAAATTTCCTTAAGAGGGATAAACACCTGTTGGAGGATTTTTTCACAACCTGACAACCCCAAAAATATTCTTAGTAATGACTTATATTTAAATCATTTAAAAAATCACTAAAATAAAAGAAAAAAGACTATAATACATAATTCAAATGATAGACAGAGATCTTACTATGTGTCCCTCAGGAGCATCTATAAATCAACACATAACATTTACTACAGAACAATTATAACGCAACACATGTGTGGAATTGATGAAATGCCAAATTATATATTGATAGAACTCTTCATAAAGGAAGATTAGAAAGCAGTGCTACAGTAACTTGAATTTCAAAGTATTTCTTTACTTCAGTGCGTAAATATTACATGCAGTTGTTCTCACTCTATCCAGCTCATCTCCTGCATGCAAAAATGTTCCATCGAGGTTGCTTATGTATTAAAAAAACATACATTTTCCTGAAAACCCTGAAGTGGCATAGTCAGTTTAGATCGAATGGTTGCATGGTTGTTGTGTAGTTGTTAGTCTGAGTAAAGCACTTTACAGCTTATCTGGGGGGCACAGATAATGCTCTTTGAAAAATTACACCTCCAGGGCACAAACACTTTGTCGTGTGAGCGGCGAGTGTCAGAGGGATAAAGATGTATCCACGCGTAATCGACCAACACAACCTCGAGATATGAGACCAAACACTGAGGTGTTCACTTTCTGATCACAGACATCAAACACTGTTGGCCTCTGACATTTCTCTCTCTCTCTGTGTGAGGGAGCAGAGTGGCAAAGGCCCTGCAGGAACACATCTCCGCTGATGAATAATTAAAATAAATACGGTCTTGATATCAACTTTGATAGGACACAGATGATCTTCTTCGCCGCCTTCAAATACATCTGGTGTGCTGTCAGACTGCGGGGTCCTTGAATGTTTTATGAATGTGGGTGTACATCAGTGAGGAATTGGAATCGCATAATAATCTGTCTCTGCATGGGCCTCTTTCGCTCTGTTTCCGCACACTGTCGAGCCTTCGAGGTGACGTCCGAGCATAAACAGCGGCACAGAGAGGCTCGCACAAGGACACGGTTCAGTTTAGGAAAGGAAGATGGTCTAAATGCTGCAATGTGAGGCAATACATTTGTGAAAAGAGGCTGTTTTTTGTAGTATAGAGAACAATCCACTTTCCAGATTGCATGCTGTCGTTAAACTGGGTGCCAAATCATGAGATTCAACATAACTGGTTCACTTTAGTTTCTGGACTCTCAGTTTCAAAAGACCTGGAAAGAAAATTAAAGGACACTAAAAATGCACATAAAGTAAAAGACAGCTTCAAAATCAATCTATTTTATGTCTAAATCTGAAAAGAACATCCCTTCAGATCACTTTTTGTACTAAAATATCAAGAAAACATTGTAAATGGACATCTGTGATTGAAGAATTTGCCTCTGCGGAAAAAGACATAAATCATTAGTTTACCTCTAGCGCCACCTTATGGAAGAGATTTAACCTGCTCGGAGGTTGTTGTCAAAGAACCTTAATTGTAAAGTGAATGTGTTTGGAAAGGTTATGCAACACACTGTAGGCTACATCCTGTGTGTTTTATTCAAAAGTTAATCCTTACCTTGAGATATTCATTAATAATCACAGCCGAATATGTTAAAATTCAAGAACTAGCATTACAACATTTATATTTTGGCTACTGAAAGAGAAGGAGAAGACTTGCTGTTTTGTTTTTGGTCTAATAAGGCTTCTTCTTTCTCTTTTTCCCCCCATTTGGTTTCATTTTCCTTGTCATTGCTCTCCCTCTTAAAATGTAAATAGACTGAGCAAAGTT